TATAATAGTGACCACATGCCGATCCAAATAACACAATATATAATAGTGACCACATGGAGATCCAAACAATGCAATATATAATAATAACATACTGATCCAAATAACCAAATATATAATAATGATAACATACCCATCCAAATAACACAATATATAATAGTGACCACATGCCGATCCAAATAACACAATATATAATAGTGACCAAACATGCGAATGATCCAAATAACACAATATATAATAGTGACCACATGCCGATCCAAACAATGCAATATATAATAATAACATACTGATCCAAATAACAAATATATAATATTTTGAATAATATATAATAATGATGAACATACCCAAATCCAAATAACATTAATAAATATATAATAGTGACCACATGCCGATCCAAATAAACAATATATAATAATGACCACATGCAAATCCAAACAATGCAATATATAATAATAACATACTGATCCAAATAACGACAATATATAATAATGATAACATACCGATCCATGAAATAACGCAATATAATAATATATGACCAAATCCTTAATAATGATCCAAATAACACAATATATAATAGTGACCACATGCCGATCCAAATAACACAATATATAATAGTGACCACATGCCGATCCAAACAATGCATATATAATAATAACATAATTTTAATCCAAATAACAAATAATATATAATAATGATAACATACCGATCCAAATAACACAATATATAATAGTGACCACATGCTGATCCAAACATGCTGATCCAAATGCAATATATAACATACGATCCAAATAAACAATATATAATCCAAATGCTGATCCAAAAATATAATATAATAATAACATACCGATCCAAATAACGAAATAATATATAATAATGATAACATACCGATCCAAATAACACAATATATAATAGTGACCACATGCCGATCCAAATGCAAACACAATATATAATAGTGACCACATAACGCAGTTGAATAATAATAACATCCGATCCAAATAACATAATACATAATGAAGTCCAAATAATACAATATATAATAGTGACAATATATAATAGTGCCGATCCAAACAATGCAAATATAATAATAACATACCGATCCAAATAAATAATATATAATAATGATAACATACTGATCCAAATAACACAATATATAATAGTGACCACATGCCGATCCAAACAATGCAATATATAATAGTGACCACATGCCGATCCAAACAATGCAATATATAATAATAACATACCGATCCAAATAACGCAATATATAATAATGATAACATACCGGTCCAAATAACACAATATATAATAATGACAACATGGCAATCCAAATAATGCAATATATAACAATGATAAGATGCCAATCCAAATAATGCAATATACAAACATCCCATTAACGGACTAATAGGGGGATGTGGTGATCTGTTAAAGCCGATTGTCCGTAAATGTGAAGGGATTATTTATTTGAGTTATAAAACCTATATAGTATCTATCACTAGTTATGATCATAATGTAAACATTATATGTATATATGGTATAAATAAATATATACTTAATATAGATATATTAATCAAAACAACAAAAATAATACATTTCTCACAGCTACTTTCTCACGCACGTGCTAATATATCGTACTTCCTATACTGTACACACATCTTTGTTTACAATTTAAAAGCCCACCAACAATGCCAAGTGCTTATTTTGAGAACTAATATAACTCTTTCTGCTAAGACAGCAAATTTTGAAATACATCGCTAACAATTTGGATGTTTTTTTTTTTCCTGCAGAATTTTTTTCATTTTGCCTGCAGATTTTGTCTGTTGCACTTCTTAATTTTTAATTTATAATGAATAATTTTACTCCAGCTTGATAAAAAAAAATTTGAAAGTGGTTGTAATTGATTTAATAAAGTGTTTTCTTAATCAACATATAGTTTAAGATTTGTTGATCAACTGGAAAAAAGATACAATTGTTTTAGATATTATTTTAGAGGTTCACTTACTTTTGACAGCACTTAAATATATATATTATCTATATATATATTATCTATATAGATATTATCTCTCTCTAAATAATATATATATATATATATATTATCTTAAATATATATATTATCTTAGAGGTTCATTTACTTTTGACAGCACTTAAATATATATATTATCTTAAATATATATATTATCTATATATATATTATCTTAAATATATATATTATCTATATATATATATTATCTATCTATATATATATATATATATATATTATCTTAGAGGTTCACTTACTTTTGACAGCACTTAAATATATAGCCAAGTGTCTTCTATCTGCTTAGTTTCACAGGAAGACAATCACAACTGTCTAAATTTTTCAGCGTAAAGAGCTCCCTTTTTGGGGCACACATTGGAGTAAAGGCTAGGTTTACCATTTTTTGTTTAAAATCCTGGCCGAAATAGGTTGTCAGCTTGGAAAGCGTACTCCCAGAAACTATTGTTCTGCTGTAGGACATCTCAAGTCCTCTTTGACCACGTTTCTTAATGAGAGTAAAATCAGTGGTAGATTTTCCAGCCAAATTCTGGAGTCATCACATGCTGCTAGTGCTGTCTTGAGTTGCCTATGAAACCGTTCCACAAGGCCGTTTGCACATGGATGATAGGCGGTTGTAAAAATGTGCTTCCCGCCTAACAAGTTTATAAATCCATTGAAAAACACTGACTGGAACTGGAAACCTCTATCAGTGGTTATTATTGAAGGACAGCCAAAGATAGAGATCCACTCTCTAAGAATGCACCTGGAAATCGTTTCTGCTGAAGTATTTTTTAAAGGAACGGCTACCGACCAACAAGTGAAACGATCGATTATTGTTAATAAGTGTTGGTACCGATCAATGTCGGGCAAAGGGCCCACTAAATCAACGTGGATGTGGTTGAACCTTCCATCAGGCTTAGAGAATGTAATAGGCGGAGATATGGTATGCCGTTGGTATGCAGTTTGCTGGCATTTTAAACAAGTCTGCGTCCAATGCTTTATGTCATTGGGCATATTTGTTCAAACGAAACGATCACTAATTATTTTGGTCGTTGCTTTTCGACCAGAGTGCGACAGGGAATGGAAATGTTCGAATATTTTTTCCCGCAGCGAAGGTGGTACATAAGGCCTAGAGTCTTCGAAGACAAAACTGCTCTCTATTAATCACCACAGAGAGCCTTCCCTTCCCTCCATTAGAATGTCTGACACTCAACTTCTCGAGAGCAACTCTCTGTGGCTTCTCGGTCTCACGTTGACTGCTGACCTGAGATGGAATAAATACATCGAGTCAATTGCCTCGTCCACTGCGAGGAAAGTTGGCTCCCCTGAGCCGCGCTAGGAGTTTTTTCTCCCTGAGTCGATCCTCCAGATATACAAATCCACAATTCGCCCTTGCATGGAGTATTGCTGCCATATATGGTCTGGCGCCCCTTCTGTTTGCCTCGGGGTTCTTGATAGGCTCCAGAAGCGGATATGCAATATGGTTGGCCCTGCCCTGGCGTCTCGTCTACAGTCACTTTCTCACAGACGCACCGTCGCCTCCCTCTGTCTGTTCAACAAATACTTTCATGGAAATTGCTCCGAGGAGCTGCATTCGCTGGTTCCCAGACTTCATGAATTCAAGCGCCCTACGAGGCTGGCATCCCGCTCTCACCCCTTCACTGTCGAAACTTCTAAATGTAGCCGTCTCTTCTACTCCAATAGCTTCATGTCTCACACCTCTCACCTGTGGAACTCTCTTCCCTTTTACTGTTTCCAATGTGTCATTATGTTGTTCTTCCGCTAAGGAGTCGAAGTTCAATGGCTGTATCGTCGATCGTGATAAATTATCGACTACTATATTGTCAGCCTCTTTAACATAGTGGATATCCGACGTATATTGGGCAATATAATCCATTTGTCGGATATCCCTTGGGGTATATTTGTCCGACTTAGCGTGCAGAGCATAAATTATTGGTTTATGATCTGTATAGACCACAAAATTCCGTCCGTACAAAAGATGACGGAAATGACGGATTGCCAAGTATATTGCCAGTAATTCCCTAGAAAATGCGCTGTATTTTTTTTTAGCTGAGTTTAGCTTAACTGAAAAGAACGAAATAGTTTTTTTAGCATCTCCCTGTTCCTAGTGAAGCACAGCTCCTATTGACTCGTCCGATGCGTCTATTGTTAGTGTGATCATTGAGTCATCATCGGTTAAATGTAATAAATTCATACAGTTGGCAAGGGCTTCTTTGGCCCCGTGAAAAGCAGACAGTGTTTCATCTTTGAAGGCAATCTTCGAGTTCTTCTGACACTGTTGTTGCAGTGAATTTGTGATGGGGAATCAAAATCTGGGAACAACGAGGAATGGATCTCCGGTAGTAATTAATTAGGCCCAAGAATTGGCGTAACTGCCGGAGGGAAGTTGGTTTGGAGAAATTTGAAATAGATGCTATTTTCTCAGGTAAGGGCGTTATTCCTTTTTCATCAATGAGGTGCCTCAAAAGTTTAAGTGTGGGTGCAGTAAGAATACATTTCTCTGCGTTAATCTTTAGTCCAAAATGCTGTAGACGTTGGAACACTTGCTCAACGTGGTGACAATGTTCGGTCTTGTTTCTACTGGTGATCAGGACGTCATCAATATAGGCAAAGGTGAAAGGTAAACCTTTCAGCATTTCGTTTATAAGCCGTTGGAAATATTGTGTAGCGTTCCTTAAACAGAACGGCATTCTCACAAATTAGTATAAGCCAAAAGGAGTAGTTATCGCTGTTTTATGGATGTCCTCCTTGGCCACTGGTATCTGGTGGAATGCTTTCACTAGATCAAGTTTGGTGAAGATTGTGGTACCTTGCAGACCCACTGCGAAATCGTGCAGGTGCGGAATTGGGTATTTACCCGGTACTATACTAGCATTCAACTTCCGGAAGTCGCTAAAAGGTCTCCAAGCGCCTGAGTCCGATTTTGAAACCATATGAAGAGGAGATGTGTAAGGACTCGAAGAAGGTTTAATTATACCGAGGTCCAGTGCTGAAACTCGGCTTTCGCCAGTTTATATTTATCAGGCCTCAATCGCCGTGGAGATGAATGCGTAGGTGGGCCCGTAGTATAAATATGGTGCTCAGCATTGTGACGAACGGTTTCTGTATACCAGAATGGTGTTGTAATTTGAGAATATTTTTGTAACAGATCCTTCATTCCGTTGGTTTCAGGTAGAGTTGCGCTGATACATGTGGTCGTATACATAGATGTAACCCCTTTCCTGGTAAAGTTGGTCGTTTTATCTTCCAAAGAAAGAGAAGACATGATAACTGACAAGTTAAAGTGGGCGAGGAAATCCGCTCCGAGGATCGGAGTTCTGATTTGGGCTATCGTGAAGACCTAAAGAAAAGATCACCTAAATCCTAGATTTAGGGTTAACGAGGTTTCACCATATGTCTGCGCTGAAGATTCATTGGCCGCTTGTAACGTATTATCTGTCTTTCTAGTCAACATATGAGGACACTAATTTGTGCCTCTGTGTCCACTAAAAACAAGTAGCTCTCAACTCGGATGTAAATGAGACGACTTTTTGGTATACCTCCGGCAGCAATCGTCTCTACATGTCGGGATAGTCGTTTCCCGACTGCTGTGTGTCATGATCCTTAGCTGTGTTCATGTCGAAGTTACACGGTTTCGTACAATGCTGCGTCTGTTGTCCATATTTAAAGTGATACCAACAGGTATTAAATATAGGCCTGCTCCTGGATGTAGAATGTGATCTGCGCCTAGTATGACGTGATGGACGTGACCGTCTAGGGAAATCATTCGGCGTGCGATTATGCTGGTGTATAGAGGTCTGTAGAGCTTGTAACTGTGAGGCTAGCTCACCTATACAATCTTTAATTCTTGAAAATTCTTGTGAATCACCGTCTGAAGATAGAATAGGTTTTAAAGGTGTTGCAGAATACGTCGGCAGATTGATGGAAATTGCCGCCTCAATATGTTCACTGGTAGAATTTTCCATTGTTTTTGTTTAAAATGTAAAAGTATTTCTCTTTTAAAATATTGCTTTTTACATTTGAACTTCGGAATCACCAATTTGTTATGGGTTAGCCAATCTGTATCGGTGACAAAATACAAATGAAACTGACTCTCTACTATTTTTCGAAAATCAAATGCAACAAAGGCAACAACAAAAAAAGAAATAATCAAATAGGTAGATATTTGTTTTAACAAAAAAAAAATTATATTGCAGCAAGTACACACGTTATAATAAAGTTGCTTAAAACACTTTAGAGTACTTGGTTGTGTGATCAAGGGTAATGTAAAAGGTGTTATGCTATAGTTCTGGTAAGAAATTAAATACTTTATGTTGATGGTGAAATTGAATGAAATAGATTGCTTGACTTACTCTAGAGTTGTCTCGCTTCGACCGATATAGTTACGATTTCCTTTATGTTGTTAAGATATTGAGTGAGTCGAATCTCGTCTTGGTTGAATTGGTCACTAGATGAGTTGATGTTGAAAAGAAATTGAATTCCACAAGCCGGGTTGGTGTTGATAAAAAATAACTTTTTGCGAGGAAATTGGGTTTTTATCGATTCGTGTGACGAGTTGATTATTTTAAGGACTCAATGTCGAAGTGAATGCATTTTCTTGATCACATGGGAGGCTCGAAAGAATATTTAACAATTTTTGGCGCATTGAACTCTGAACAGGTCACCTCGAGGTAAACTGTGCGAATGCAGGCAGAAACATGACGTTATTATTTATGGACCAATCAGAAAGCATTGTTTCGTACTGAAATCTGAAGCCGATTTTAATTGGTTCAGCACAAACTGAGAATACTTAGCTGTGATCCACTTTTGACAGGTTTACAACAGAGAAAGTAAAAATCTAATTCTACAGGGTAAAAGAGCTCAATATCCATATATATATGTGTGTGTGTGCGTGTGTGACAGCGAGAGAGAGAAAGACAGAGATAGATAAAAGAGAGAGAGAGAGAGAGAGAGAGAGAGAGAGAGAGAGAGAAATAAACACTTCCCTGGTATTTAAACTTCTGGAAAAACGATACAATTGTTTTAGATATTATCTTATGGTTTCACTTACTTTTGCACAGTACTTTACACACACACACACACACACACACACACACACACACACACACACATATATATATATATATATATATATATGTGTGTGTGAAAATATATAGAAAATAGGAAGGAACTGGTTAGGTAAATAATCCAAAGTCCCTTAGTATTTTAGTTATTATTTAAAAAAAATAGTGCTCGATACAAAATTAGAGCATAAATATAATTATTTATTTAAAAATATGATTCCAAATCGCGACATAAGAAGTCCCATGTTTCAAAACAAGAGCCGAAAACTTCAATATAATTATTTAAATTATCTAAATTAAATTGAGTTAAAATAAGCTCTGTTCCATCTTCAAGCGAAATTTTTTTTTGAATATATATATATATATATATATATATATATATATATATATATAAAAAATAGTTTTTAGTGTATATATATATATATATATATATATATATATATATATATATATATAAAAAATATAATTTTTAGGTATGCAATATTTATGGGTAAAAGAGCTCAATATCAATATACATATATATATGTGTGGGTGTCCGTATGTGTGTGTATATATGTGTGTGTGTGAGAGAGAAAGAGCGAGAGTGAGTTTAATGATTCAAAATCTACTCTTTAATAATTCAAAAAACAAATTTTAAAGTTTATAACGAAGAACTTTATTTGGTGCATAGCTTGATTTTATGGATATTTTTATTGAATTTTGGGAATTGTGAGAAACATCTATAGGGGTGCTGAAAATTTATCTACCTGACCAAGAAACACTTCCCAAATATTTATTTGGTCCGTTTTTGAGACGTTACTCAGAACAAGAACCTTTTGAGCACCACTTCTTTTATCATCACGTTTTTTTTCTCGCAGTTATTAACGTTAATAATTTAAAATCTTCACCTCCATTTCAAATTACATTCAAAGAAATGTACTCTAGAAGAACCGAGTGCCCGCAGAAGCTCTTTCTCCAATAACGAGCAAAGATGATGGCGATAAATAAGATATAACAAGCAAATAACATATTCCGATGTAATTATAAAGTCTTTTTAATATAAATGTCTTATCTTGCAGACGATGTTTGTCCAGAATTTGACTGAATTATTCCGATGCTGTTCTAAAGCAGAAAAAAAAACTGAAAGGAAAAAAAAAAAATCAACAAAACTAATGTAACTTATAAAGAAAACAACAACGGAAGTGGAAAAAAAGATAGCAAAAACTAGACAAAAAAAAAAAAAAAACGCATTGAAAGATAAATTGCATTATTATCTACCAATATTTTGAAAAAAAAATCTTATTTTCTTTTTTTTTATGTCTTCTCTCACGCATGTTCAAAAAAAATATAAGCCATCAAAATAATGTCGTTTGAAGAATATCTGTGGTGAGGAATATGCATCCTGCAAATAAGCCTTTTCTTAATTAACATTAAATAAATATTCCCTGCATTTTATCGACCATAAACTGACAACAAATACGCATGTTTGATCGTAATTGCCCCAAACAAATTTTGTGGAAGTTTAATTTTCATAAAAATCACCAAAATATAAATGAAATAAAAAGAAATATCCTGACAGAAACGAGATGGATTATTCATACTTTTTAACTGATTGGTAAACCAAACATACCCGTGATTATGAATGACTGTGTATGTAAGATGGCGGATGTGTATATTGAAATTTTCGCCTTTATAGCCATTTGTTCCAAAAGCGAATCTTTCGATTTTCATCGTCTATTTTTGTTATTTTTTTACGCTTTGAATGTTGTTCTCTTTTTAAGGGATATTATTTTTATTAAGTCTATAAATATTTATGCTTTTTAACGTAATTGGTTTGCTATAGCGTGTTTGCATCTATTTAATAAGTTTGGTACAACGTCTAAGTAGAGAGGCCTTACTTATTTGCATCTTAGCGTTTTCGGTTACACAATCAACGTCGTAATATTTGCATCTGATGTTAAAAATTATTTTTCCTCTCTAATTTCGGCGCTAAGTAGTTTGAAGGGAAAGGATGAAGGTAATAAAATAATTACTGAAACCTGAACCTTGCCACCCTGCATGAAAATCTTCTTGACCCAGGAATGGAGGATAGGTCAAATGAAGGTGAAATAAAGGGAAAGAAAAACAGAAGTGCTTTTTTCTACTACAATAAATTGTTTTGATAAACGTGAATTTTTAACCAATAGTTACTCGATCCGGTTGAAATCTGAAATGCTTGTAATGACCGCCAAAAAATTTCGAGTAAATCGGAGCTGACCTTTGGCCATAATAAGCCCTGCAATACGACCATCAACAGGAGTGGCCTTCCAAAACATTTGAAAACATGACCGAGCGTAGACAGTAAGAAGCGCCAGTGAAACCTCTACTCAACGAAGCTTTGACAACCAAATTGCCGTTTTCACAACAGAATTAAGTCTTGTTTTCTCCCCGACTATTGTAACTGAATATTGTTTACCCGTCAGAGAAAAAGTACTGTTCACAAAACAACACTCTCCATTGAAAACTCTGAACTCTGAAGGCATGAAAGTTTTCTGTCACGAACTTTGACATCTCACATCAAATCATAAGAACTATTAAGAATATTCACTTTTTATCTCTTCAAGGTTAACATACTATATTTCGCTGTGTTTGACCCCCGCCGAAACCCTTTTATTGTATCTTCTCCTTTGTAATTTGCATTGTTTTGTATACGGTGGCATTTTTCTTGTGATATTTCATGTTAATTGATTTTGATTGTAAACGTGATCTTTTTTTCCCTTCAGCTACCATTAAGCCTTATGTTAGAGAAAATAAGTTACTTAGCTAGGAATTTATTAACCTCTTTTCCGAACGCACAAATTTGCACATCCCTAATATTTACTAAAATTTTATTTTATTTTAATAAAAACTGATTTGGTATTATATCTAACTGAGCATTTCTAGTCATTTTTACAGTGTGCCTTGTTGTCACTTGATCGCCATTTTTACAGTGTGCCTTGTTGTCACTTGATCGCCATTTTTACAGTGTGCCTTGTTGTCGCTTGATCGCCATTTTTACAGTGTGCCTTGTTGTCACTTGATCGCCATTTTTACAGTGTGCCTTGTTGTCACTTGATCGCCATTTTCCCCTCGTTCTGGGTATGGCGGAAAACTATACCCGGCAACAAGACCACTGATTGGGAAGTTTTGAGGAGCGTGGAACCACCCCTTAATTGCTGTTGTCCCCAGGTTAACCCTGACCCGGAGTGGTAGCAACTGTTAGGATCCCTGCTATGGGCAAGTAGTTAACCTTCAAACCCAGGTCAAAACATTATGAAAGTGTAGAAGTAGATTTTATAGTAAAAGTACCAGCAATACATTTAAAAAAATACCAGCAATACATTTTTGAAAAAAATATTACTACCACTACATTTGACTCTCTACAAAAACCCTCTTTACAAAAATTCGTCAATAAAACCTGGTCTACAAATTGATTTCTTACAAAGATACATATTCTATTCATACCATATCCTAAAACTTTTGTTGGTACTAATTAACTCATTGAGGTCGATATGCCGTAAAAAAATAAACCAAACCAAACCATTCTCCCCTATCACTATTAACCGAACCCACACGAATATACATGTTGGTTTATATTACTATTTTTCATAGTTAACAATAGTCAGGTTAGACGAAAAATGGAGTTTGGCTATAATATATGAGCTGGACTTATTCAAATCTCACTTTCCAGCCTTGATAGTGTTCAGATTAATATACACAACCTTCTCGGGGATGATTTTTCTCCATTCTGAAGCCCACAGACGCAACATCGAAAAATTACCTATCGTCGCTAAACGCTCTATCGCTATTTCTACAGTAAAAGGTTCAGATAATTTTATTCTTCAGTTGGACCAGTTCGAAAATGTACAGCTCGGACACGCGTGTTACTTCCATGGCGTGGACACTTTCTCTTTAAATTTATTGGAACGAGGAAATTAGACTAAGATAGCATTTTAAGGAACTGCTACTTTGTGGAACATACCACTGTGTGAGTGCTTCCCCCAGAGGATTGCCAATAACTTGAGAGGATTTTTCAACGGGGTGGGGAATAAAATTGGATCTAGTTTCTGCAAGAAACTTCTTTTAAATTATTTTGAACACCTGATCGTCATCAGAGAAAATAAAAGGCACAGTATTAAATGTTGAATGTAGTTTATTGATGTGTGTCCGATACTTTTGCTTTTTCCCTTTGCATAGACAAATAGAGGAGGCACGGTGGAGTTATGGATAGCGGCTCGGATTGAGGAAGCGGAGAGCAGAGTTCGAATTCCAGTCGAATCCATTACATTCACTTACGTGCAGGACAGACTGGGTTCGTCAGAAAGATACATGATCGCCTAAGAGTGTATCAAAGCTGCCTATCGAAAGATACATGATCGCCTAAGCCTGTATCTAACCTGCCTATCGAAAGATACATGATCGCCTAAGAGTGTATCTAAGCTGCCTATCGAAAGATACATGATCGCCTAAGAGTGTATCTAAGCTGCCTATCGAAAGATACATGATCGCCTAAGCGTGTATCTAAGCTGCCTATTGAAAGATACACTATCGCCTAAGAGACAAGAAGCCTTTGTTTCGTCTTAGATATAGAATATCCGAAGGATTTACTGTGATATACTTTTGCGTATATATATATATATATATATGTGTGTGTGTGTGTGTGATTGTTTCAAAGAAGAAAATCAGTGGTTACACCCCTAGCGACCTCATCTCACAAGCCAAGTCGTAACTTCAGCTAGTCTTCAGATTAATTCATGTATATCTTTGCAAAGCACTAGAAGCTTAAATCGAATCCAAATTGGCTAGCATTCTCACGCCACGCGACCTTCTTTCAGATAAACGTTATGGATTTAGTTTCTCTAGATCAACCACCAGTAACAGTTATTACTGAATTTGTCTATCAAGTTTTAGATAAGAATGGCAAAGATCAGGATGCGGCTTTAGATATCTTGAAGGTTTTTGGCAGAGTTTGGCACGCTGACCTTCTTCACAAGCTCAAGGTCTATGATGTCTGTGACCAAATATTCGACTTAATTAAATCGTTCTTAACAAATCATGTAATAAAGGTCATGTTGAACGGCCACAATTATTAGTCGTTTCATAATTACTACAATGGAGGGGGGACCCAGAACTCTATCCTTGGACCCTTTTCTTATTAAACTTTTCACTCCAAGCAAGGCGGGAATTCCACTAGCAAGCAAGGAGTTACAAAAAATGGGAGCAAGAGTAAAAGGACGGGGAATAGATCAAGGCATTTGGAGATGTCAATTCCATTTGTATAGTTGGAGATTATAGCTATCAAGGAAGCAAGTAAGAGGAAGGGAGTTCCACAGACAGGAAGTGCGAGACATGAAGCTATTGGATTAAAAGAGACGGGTACATTTAACCGTTTCAACAGTGAAAGGGTGGGACTGAGATGCTGACCTTAAATTTAAATTCATGCAGTTTGGGAACTAGCGAAAATAATTCGTCAGAGCAGTTACAGTGAAACTAGTTGTAGAAAAGACAGAGGGAGGCGAGACACGTCCGTGAGAGAGCGACTGTAAACGAGATACCAGATCAGAGCCAATTCCACTGCATATCCGTCTCTGGATTTTGTCGAGGACCCTAAGACCAACAGCGGGAGCTCCAGGCCATATATGATAACAATATTCTATGCAAGGGCGAATGTTTGATTTATAGATTTGAAGGATGGGCGCGGGCGAGAGAAACTTTCTGGTGCGACACAGAGAACCAACTTTCCTTGCGGTAGATGAAGCTATTGATTCAATGTAATACCTATATCTGTTTCTGTTATAGACAAGCGTATGGTTGCAAGAAAGAAATACGACAACAGCAGAAATAGATTTACGTGATTTATTTCAATAGGAACGTGTGGGTTTGGTACAGCTACCTTGTGGTATAGTTCATAAGCCGGCTCCCGATCTGGGTTGATCTCTCATAGTAGTTCTCACTGGTTAGCGTGGCGCTTCTCCTGCTGACTGCTGCTGACTGCCCAGACTGACTGTGACAGATCTCTTCCCTGGCTTCCTGTTGACTGCTAGTACTTCCACGTGTGACCCATTTTATGGCATTTTTTATGGCTTAACAGGCTCGAAAAACGACGCGAGTATAATTAGGAGGGAAGCATTTTTATTGGTCAAAAAATAAAAACACTTTAAAATATTATTTTATTTTTCGACCGGAACTCGTGCGTCGGGCCTATGCGCAAACGACGATAATGGTCATTTTGTGACGGGGCCTTGTCCCGTTCACATCCGGCTCTCGCTCTTGAGTATGTTAGTTTATTTGCCTGCAAATCAGCCGAGATATATCTTATTTTATTTTATAACATTTCTTCATCAATGACCTTCCTGGTGTCATCAGCTTCCAACTGGATATTTATGCTGATGACACAACAATTTACTCTCGCCTTAATAATAAGCCCCACTAAGATAGGCGGTGTATGTCATCTGGATGGGCAATAACAGAAACCTTAAGCAACTTCTCTATGGCGAGTTTTCTAAGGGAAAAAGAAAGCATGGTAGGTCAGTGAAACATTTCACAGACTGCATCAAGGCAAACATCACCTACACTGGAAGATCCCCGAAACAGTTTGATGAGTGTGCACAGGATTAAACTGGATGGCGTGCCCTGACACGCGAAGCAACAGAGACATTTGAGGGCAACCGGCATGACAGAATCAACGAGGTTTGTTAATAAAAAAGGAAGGCACTAGTAAAAGGACGCTAACTTCCCGGACAGTTTCCCAGTTCCCACTGCAGATGTATTTGCGGCTCTTGCATTGAACCTCGTAATGACCTTTCACCCTTGGACATAGATGTCATTGTCGAACCCGACAGACTACCTATATAATAGTAAGTCCGATAAGTTTGACAAAGCAAGATCGGCAGCTTCTCTTGAAAATGACCCACCGTGGGTTAACTGGGGCAAGTTAAATTTAAATTTAAAATGCAAATTGCAAATACGAAACTGCTATCATTTAATATATCATAGAGAATCATTTTTGCTCTCAATCAGCATGGCTGATGTTAACCACCAAGAGAGCAACTCATTGCACCTCCTTTGTTTCAAGTCTTCCACTGACATAAAGTAGAGTGGGTATATTGAATCAGTTGCTAGGTTTTCTGCGAGGAACATTGGTTGATTGTGTAGTGCCAAACAATCCATCTTGCACATTTATAAATCTACCATTCGTCTGTGCATGGAATATTGGCAACTAGGACACACGGTGTTACTGTTGAAATAGCTCGATGTAACCGTAAATTCTATACCAATAGTTTCTTTTCGCGCACTTCTTGCCTGTGGTATTCTCTTCTTTCTCTGTCATTCACGATCTTCAAGAAATTTCATGCAACGTCAATATCTACCTCCTGTATCCTGTTCTTTGATATTCTTCTCATTCCCTTTCACTTTCAGTAACCCCTGCCGTTTTTGTGTCATTATCGCCTTGCTTGCGGGTGAAGGGATTTTAAAATAATAACAATCGCAGAACAGGGAATGTTTTTCTCAGATTGGCAGAGACTGAACCAGCTTCCAAACCCCTCACATAATAGGCCGAGGAAGACGTTTATCAAAGCTGTGGGATAAGATACAAATCGGTCATGAGCCAGTGGAAAAAGGGCTTAAAGAATTTCACACTCACAGGACACAACGAAAAACTACGAGTCAGCTCATTAATACACTTGAGGGAATGTGCAACATTGCAGCTCAGACCAGACACAAAGTTCGTTCCCAGGGTGTAGCTTCTTCCACTCAAACGCTTGTGACTTAAAATAATCCTTTAGCTAGATCATTGCCCACGAAATATAACCATCAGACGATTTGTAGTAGCAGGTAAATTCTATTTTTCTGTAACCTACTGCTATAGACAGCAAGGCAGAGAGATGAAGCGTAAGTGAGGAAAAAATGTGAACAGTTTAATGGGCGTTTTTTATAATTTTGCGTCCTATGAGTTTTTTTTTGTTTTCGTTCTCTAATGGGTCCCTCGGTCTCTTTTATTTTCGCAAAATGATTGACCACTGATTTATAGCGACATTTTTTGTCTTGTCATCTTTATCTCAAAAAAGGAATTTATCTTCATTTAATGACCTCTTTTGTCCGGGCCGTTTTCCATGATACCTTGTAAGGGCAACTCCACTTTGTTGATAGTCATCAGGACAAATAAATCTCTGAAATCATCTTTGTGACAACTCAGATGTTTTCCATTTAACAAGATATCGGCTGACACCGATATCGCTACCAATGGATGACAGAACAAAAACAAAGAGAGAAGGTAAAGCGGTCAAAAGTTATGAAGAACAACAAGAGAAAGCAGGAAGCTATGGAGATCCATAATCGACTTCATTATAAATGAATCATTTTTAATTATAAAACCAGTCGCAACCCTATTTTCCTTCAATTAATTCCGAATTCAAAATTACTGGAGCACAGATTTTAACTCAGGAATATTAACATCGATTTCCGAATTACTTAAAATTTCAACATCACTGCTATGACATTTATATCGCATATAGTCTGATTAGAAATCGATCGACATTCAATTTATTCCAATTTACCTGGAAATAGGAAAGCCACCTGACTCAAGTTTTAAATAACGACGTTCTAATACCAAACTAACACTGGAAAACTGTTTAATTTGATTTCCGATTTATTTAAAGTATTCAGACCAGTTCCAGGACTTGCTTATCTTGAATGCATTCTGCTTCTCGTTGATTAACATATTTTTTCATCTAAGCTTATTAACGTTTGGCGATTTGATACAAACGGAAACCTTTAAAAATGTCTATTTATCTCCATTAAACACACAATTGTTATTAATATCGATTAATAGTGTCTTACCTCGGTTTAATTACGCCCTGCATTGTTCGCTTCCACAATTCCAATTACGCTTTCGAATTTTACATTAAAAGTTTTATGCTAACCGAATAATTTACGAAGATACTTCAAGTACAATGTATTTATTTATTTGAAATAAACGATGAATATTTTTTTAAAATTCGTATGGCTGTGAATACTATAGTGGATTAGTCAATGTGTATTACTGTATTATTGGTTATCAATACAACTTAAAACTGACCCTCTACTATTTATACTATTAGGTTGGTGCAAAAATAATATCGTTTTTTGACGTTAAGTTGAACGTCAAAAAAACGACATTATTTTTGCACCAACCTAATATATCAAATGTAACAATGACAACAACAACAAGAGAAATAATCAAGTAGAAGAATTTCTTCAACAATAAATATTTTTTATAAAACATATAGTGGGTCAGCCAATTTGTATTGGTTATAAATAGAAATAAAAACTGACCCTCTACAATTTTTAC